GTGTGTGTGCTTGTGGTAAGGCAGATCGGTGGACGGTGGAGGGCGATGTGACGATGCAGGAGCTGCTCAAGTGGTTCAAGGCAAAAGGGCTGGATGCATACAGGTGAGGCGGATGAATTGAATGCGGTGGAAAGAGGTGGGAAAGGGTGGGAAGGCTTGAAGAGGATTGCAGGCAGGCATGTGCTTTTGTTAAGGCAGACCGGTGGACAGTGGAGGCCGATGTGACGACGCAGGAGCTTCTTGACTGGTTTTAAGGCAAAAGGGCTTGATGCGTACAGGTGAGCATGGGTTGAAAGCGGTGGAAAGGAGTGCATGTGTGTGTGTGTGCTTGTGTTAAGACAGACCGGTGGACTGTGGAGGACGACGTGACGATGCAGGAGCTGCTTGATTGGTTCATGGCCAAGGGGCTGGATGCTTACAGGTGAGCAGGGGTTGAAAGCGGTGCGAAGGGATGCAGGTGCGTGTATGTATGGTCTTGTCAAAAGCAGACCAGTGGACGGTGGAGGGTGATGTGCCAATGCAGGAGCTGCTCGACTGGTTCAAGGCCAAGGGGCTGGACGCTTACAAGTGAGGCGGATGGGTGGGACAGGGTGGAAACTGAAGGGTAGGGGTGGGAAGGGTTGGAAAGAGGTGGAAAGGGTTGTGGGCAAGCATATATGTGTGTTTGTGCTACAACAGACCGGTGGAAGGTGGAGGGGGATGTGACGATGCAGGAGCTGCTCGACTGGTTCAAGGCCAAGGGGCTCGATGCGTACAGGTGAGGCGGATGTGTGGAGAGGCATTGAATGTGAGCGATGAGGAGGAGTGGGGTCACTTGCAGCTTCGGGGATCTCGGTTGGCATTGGGAGGCTCGATGCGAGGAGGAATAGCGGGCTTTAGCAGTCGAGCCCGTTATTCTCCGCCTTGCACCGAATGTCCCAATGCCAACCGAGATGCCTGATTGTGCTAGTTGTCTCCTTTCCGTGCCTCTCCTGTCTTCCTTCCTCCTCTCCAAAACAGCATTTCGTGCGGTTAAGCCCTCCTCTTCAATTCCCTCTTCCCACGTCACAAGGAGCGCCTACCACGCATGGTGCTGGACATTGCAAAGGAAGTCGCCAATCTGGAGGCGGCCAAACTAATGCAGCCTCTTTCCCTGTCTCCTCCTGTCTCTCCCCAACTCCCAAAACAGTATCTCCTGTGGTCAAGCTCTGCTGTTCAACTCGCTCTTCCCACGTCACAAGGAGCGCCTCGCTCGCAAGGTGCTGGACATTGCAAAGGAGGTGGCCAAGCTGGAGGTGCCGGCATACCGCCGCCACTTTGACGTGGTGGTTGCATGTGAGGATGAGGAGGGCGAGGATGTTGATGTTCCTCTCATCTCCATCAAGTTCCGATAAGCCACTGATGCCCTGCCGAACCGGCGCCACTTTGACGTCGTGGTGGCGTGTGAGGGTGACGAGGGGGGGACGTTGACATTCCTCTCATCTCCATTAAGTTCCGATAGGATGCCATACGTGCCTCTGCTATGCCTCGCTGTGCCGCTGTACCGCTGCCACTTCGGCGTGGATGGGGAAGGGGAGGATGAGGATGTTGATGCTCCTCTGATCTTACCGTATCAGGTTTTGATTAGATGCTACTTGTTTGTTGCACACTGTGAGGGCTACTTACCATTATGGATTGTTCCTCTATATGACGCATTTTGAAAGAGTGTAACTCGCATGCAACCACTTTACTCACCGGTAACTGATGTTTACACGAGATGGTTCTGCCAGTCCTCCATATGCATCGGCTAGAGACACAGTCAAGGGTACCCTTCCTTACCCAGCTGTTGAAGGAATCTCAAGTGAGAAGTGGGTACACTCCACAGGTGAAAAGCAACTCCTTCGACAGTTTTACATTCTGGACATGAAGAATGCAGTACAGGTGCCACTTGTAGACAGCATGGTGACAGGTGTGTTGACAGAACTTGAAAATGCAAAGAGAACTAATACAATTATTTTACAAAACAGCTTCTACAAACATGCAAATTTGTGGCAGTCCAGTTTACTCTGGTCCAGCCACAGCTGCTAATACACTAGAATGTACCGTATGATCTACATTTGTCTCAGCACATTGCTCATCCTACGGAGAGCAACCCGGCTGCTAGAGCCTGTTAACCTCCGTCTTGCACCGAACCTTCCAATCCCGACCGAGATCCCTGAAGCTGCCAGTGATCTCCTCTCCTCCTCATCCTCCTCATCCATGTACAGTTGATTCATGTAGCACACACTCCCTGCCCCATAGATCGAAGAGCCGCTTCTGCTGCTGGCATCTTCATCCTCCTCATCGTCCCCAAAGAGCTGGTTCGAGAAAGCAGTCCCCCCATCAGCCTTCCCAGAACCCCTCATGTCCATAATCCAGCCCTTCCCAGTGCCGCTGATGCGTCGACCAATCCCCTTCTTCCCACAGGTTACAACTGAGACCAAGTCCCTGTGAGAACCACACAGGCTATCAGCAGAAGTGGACGAGCAGCTATCCCAAGTGGGGTCGATAAGACACGCACTGTGGCTGCTGCAGCTGCTGTCAGTCTGACTCAGGCTGCACAGCCTGCTGCTCGCCTCTGCACCCACCTCAGCTTTCATCTCCACACCTTTCCGTGCCTCAGAACCCATTGTCGCATCCTCGTATGCATCTGCATCCAGCTCTACACCTTTCTGCGCTTCCAAACCCATAATCACATCCTCAAATACCTCAGCAACCAGGAACCAGGAAGCCACCTGCTCAGACTCCGGAGCCAACCACCACGCTTCCTCAACCGAGCAGATAGAGTTCTCAACTAAACCGAAAAATTCTTCAGCCGAGCAGCGGGGTGTAACAGCCGAGACAGGAGGAACGACCAAAGTTGACAGAGCAGCGGGTTCAGCAGAGCTGGTAGCAGTTTCGAGCAGGTCAGCAGGAACCGCCACAGAGACAGCAGGGACAACCACACAGGCAGCAGGGACAACAAACGAGCCAGCAGGGACCGCCACAGGGACAGCAGGGACCTCATCTTTCACAGTAGGAGACTCAACCACGACAAGAGCAGCCTTGGCTGCAAGTTGAGTGCTTGAGCTGGTCCATTTGAAGTCGACCTGCAAAGACTCAAGTGAGCAACGTTAGTCTTTGCTCAGCATTTTAAGAAAATGCGTGTTAGAAATGAGGCGTTTGCGTGCATTCAAACAGAGAATCGGAAAGGAGGTAGAAATCTGTTCTTACCAGGCGTGAAAGCGAGACCAGGTTGCACATGAAGCGAGTCAGGGAGTCATCCTGCTCCCAGTGACTCGAGAAGAGAGCGTCGACGTCCATGCAGGCACTCGCAGCAACGATGCAGGCCATTTCGTCGACTGATGAAGTTGAGAAGGCGGACTGGCTTTAGTGTTGAGTACTACGGATTGTCAGGGAGCACTCGTGCGGATTCAGAGAGCAGGTAACACGGCCTTGAGAGCAGAAGACGGTAGGATTCTGAAGGCTGATGATAACTGGATCACTGCAGACTGGTGAATGGGGAATACATCTTAGGATCGTAAACACCTTAGTCGGCAATAGTCTACTTGCTATTGCTTATCGTGTTCTCCACGATCTCACGAATCCAACGATATGCGCAGCTCTGCTTGAAGTTGTCAATACACACTTCAGCAATTTTCAGAATCTGATTGGTTTCAATGCTGTATTTTCCAGAATGAGTACAAGCAGTTTTATAGTCAAGCAAGACACAAAATGCGATTCGTAACTTCACTTGTTTCCCAAGTAACCGCGTGCGCCTCGTTTCACCCCGAGTCGCACACGGAACCGAACCGAATGCACCGAACACTCCTCAAGTCCGAATCTGGAACCTTCTCGAACATGCCTTGAGCTCGAACCACAATTTCCCCTCGTCAACTTCAATCTCGATACTTCTTCACTCTTCTTCCTCCATTTCTCTAGTTTCTTCCCGATTTCTCTCTCGCTTCTCACGCCGTAGCTTCCATTCTCCACCGTAGGCCGATTTCCACCGTTTCACCTAGAATCATCCACATGCTTCCATTTCGCCGTCATTCCGCCGTCGTAGAAGCTTTCGCCGTAGGTTCCGTGGTTGGGCGAACCACCCCTAACAATACAAACCCCTGCTTGCTTTACACTCGTTTCTCTGGTGCTGCCAGTGGCTGGCTGCTAGGATTCGCGAGAATGTGGGGTGAGCTTGAAACTGGGACGGAGTCGCGACGAAAGTCACGGAGGCGGTTGGAGGCTCGGAGTCGCGAGAGAGTGAGGCTCGGAATCGCTGAGGGTGTGAGGCTCGGAATCGTTGAGGGTGTGAGCCAATTCCAGCCAATGCTGAGCGGAAATCGCATAGCCTGTGGGGTCCGCGGCGATCGGTGCCCATGGCGACGTCGCCGGGTGGCCTAGTAAGCGTCGCATGGCTGTCCAGTCCAGTTGCGACGATTCGATGCGAGCTCTTGGCTGTATGAGCGTGGGAGGGGGTTTCTCTGAAGCGTGTGGTGCTCCCAAGGTCCGCCGCAATCGGGAGTACCGTGCGGCTCGAGAAATTACGAAGGCGGGAAAGAGATACATATGGATATGGAGCGAGACTTCAGGCAATAGGTTCGATGAACCGAACCTACAGCCGAACCTACGCTCTAACCCAGCGGATTCTTGGATACTGGACATGTGGGATCGAGGTAATGCAGCGGGAAGTCAGGGAATGGCTGAAGGAATGTCTAGTGCGGGTAAAATCAATGGTTTATAGGCAAACTGGTTATACGCTTTGTTTCCATTTATATGACACTGAATTTACTTATATTTACCACAAGGAACTGCTTACGAAAAAACCAACGATGTTTTTGGGCGTGTCCACAATCTGGTCCACATATTGTACTAGAAAGTGGCTGCATATGCAGCAAGCTGGTACACACATCATACTTACAAATGAAAATTATACATACGTATATTTTTTTAAGTATTCCAAAAGCTATCAAGGATGCCCAGCTCTCCATCCTCCATTTTCACCCATCCACCCATCCCTCCATGCATCACCCCTTCACCTCATCCCTCCTCTCCTGCCCCTCGGCCACCATCACCCTCTTCCCCATCTCATACACCAAGAACCCAATTGCCGTCGCTGGAACCAGCTCAATGAGGCTCGGCAGCACCCCTCTGTACAGCCCCCTCACCCCCTCCTTCCTCAATATCCCCCTCATTGCCTGGCGAAGTGAGTTGTACTCCAGGTGCCCGCCCGTGGGGGTGGCGTGTTTTGGCAGCAAGCTCATGTTGATTTCGCGCCGGCAGAGCTCGAATGGGTGTGTGACTATAGTGGAGGCTGCTCCTGCGATGGCGCCGGAAATGAGCATGTGCGCTGCAGACGGGTCTTTGCCATTTCTCAGCCTCTGATGGGTGGAAACAAAAAAGGATCACAGTGGCGACATGGGATTGTTAGCAAGTGCCATGGTGTTGGGATTATGTCAGCTCGAACGGGTGCGCAACCAAGGGTGTGTGACTATAGTGAATGCTGCTCCTGCAATGGCACCGGAAATGAGCGTGTGCGCTGCAGAGGGGTCATTGCCATACCTCCGTCTCTGTTGAATGGGGGGAAAAGGGTATGGCAACAGGGCATTGTATAGAGTGTGTGTGTGGGCATAGGGCAACATGCATGCCATGCACCTCACCTTGATCTCCTTCTTGAGTGAGTCAAAGACAAGAAAGTTGATTGCAGAGGCGGGCACCATGGAGGCCAGCTTCGGCACAAAAACGAGGGGGATAGAGCGGGAGTGTGTGAGGGACACAGAGCACACAGATGTGTCATGTATGTATGCATCTGACCTCACCTTGATCTCCTCTTTCAGCGACTCGAAGACGAGGAAGTTGATGGCAGAGGCGGGAACCATCGACGCCAGCTTCGGCACCACCCCTCGGAACAGCTGTGAGGCACCGTGCTGCTGTGCCACCCCCACCAGGGCCTGTCGCAGACCAGGGTACTTTCCCGGCTGCGGAGGGGATAAATTGTAAGAAAAATGGGAGGGGAAGATGTGTGACCAGCTGTGAGGCGCCGTGCTGCTGTGCCACCCCTACCAGGGCCTGGCGCAGACCAGGGTAATTTCCCGGCTGTGGAGGGGATAAATTGTAAGAAAGACGGGAGGGGAAGATGTGTGAACAGCTGCAAAGCGCTGTGCTGCTGTGCCACTCCCACCAGGGCTTGTCGCAGTCCCTGGTACTTGCCCGGCTGCATTAAAAACAGAACACAGAAAGAAGACATACAGATTGGAAAATAACAAGGAGTTGAGCTAGGATCTCTTCACTCTACAAGGAACAGCGGTGATTGGCTGTGCTGCTGTGCCTCGCCCACCATGGCCTGGCACAGACCGGGTACTTTCCCGGCTGCAGGAATAACATACCACAGAAGGGAGACATACAGACAGAGGGAAGAATGACAAAGAGTTGAGCTAGGGTCTCACTCTACACTACATTGAACAGCTGCGAGGCGCCGTGCTGCTGTGCCACTCTCACCAGGGCCTGGCGTAGACCAGGGTACTTGCCTGGCTGCAGGGGAAGAAAAAAGGAGAGAATTTATAGAGAGATATACAGAGGAGATATGAAGAAGAAGGCAGAGAGTAGAATACATTCTGACATACCTTACCTGAAGGTACCTGGCGACACCTGAAGACACCTGAAGATTTACCTGCAGGCTCATGTGGTCGCCGACAGCAGAGAAGGGGTAGAGGAGGAGAGTGGCAGCCAGGCCTGCAGCTCCACCTGCCACTGAGCTGGGAGGTAGCGACTCGGGCAGCTGAAACGTTTTTGGGTGCTTCTGATTGGCTCGTAACAGCCATGCCTTCACGGTCTCAAACGTGTAGAACTGAATGGATGGAGAATCAGGGAAAAATGGGAAGGAGAACAAGGGGAAAGAAGAAATGGGGATTACGGAGAAGGAAAAAAGCCATGGAGGTACAGGGGAGAGAAGAAATGAGGGATCAAGAGGAAAAGGCCACGGGGAACAAGGGGATGAACGTAAGACGTGGTTAATGCCATGGAGGAACAAATAAAGTTGTTAATAAGGCACATGCACACTTGCAAACACAGATGCATGGCTGACAATCTAAAAAACAAGCAGAGTGTTTTTTCCCCTGAAAGCCCGCCTGAATGCCTCTGTTCAGCGCTGTCATTATGATGGGCATCTTGAGCCCCGCAGACAGAATGCTGTCCCTTAAAGCCCGGTTATGCACCGCTGTCGATGCCACCTCAGCGGCCGTTCTGCCGCCCTTCTGTGCAATCACCCTCGTTTGTAGGTTCTTCAAAGGACCTGTGCATGCACCCACCACCCCCCCTGCCAGGACTCCACATAGGAACTACAGAAATGGGTTGCAAAGAAGGAGCAGAAAGAGCAGAAAGAGCAGACGAGTTCAGAACACCAAGTCAACTGAACACAGGCATGAGAGAGGAAGAACAAGAGCAGTTCGTTTTGATAAAAAGTACTGATCCAGTCCCAACAAAACCACTTCACTCCAAGCATGCCAGTTAATCTCCAAGCCTACCTGTTTCAGCTCCAAATTCCGGACGCGCCGAACCAGAGGCACAGGCACGTTGTCAGGCACGGGAACGCGGTACTCCCGAGCCTCCCTCGAGATCCGCTCCAGCGCATCTGGCGCCTCCGCCGAGCCTCCGCGTGGCTCGCGCTCGGATCGCTGCGGAGAGTTGTTGCGACAGAAGCACTCGAGATGAGTCATTTTCGCGAGCTTTAAAATACGGCAAAGGAGATGATCTCGAGGCGCGGAGGAATCGAAATAGCGAGGGGAGTCAGATTCAGCAAAAATGGAACGAGGAGATTTGAATGCGAATAGAATGGAAATGGAAGAGAATGGCGTGTCCTCGGTATAACTTACACGCTCAGCCATGCTTCTCGGCGAGAGCTAACGAGGCGATCCGAGAGGAGAGAGTTTACGGGGAGATTGTCTTAGGATCGTAAACACCTTAGTCGGCAATAGTCTACTTGCTATTGCTTATCGTGTTCTCCACGATCTCACGAATCCAACGATATGCGCAGCTCTGCTTGAAGTTGTCAATACACACTTCAGCAATTTTCAGAATCTCCAAGTTATGTTTTCCAGAATGAGTACAAGCAGTTTTATAGTCAAGCAAGTCACAAAATGCGATTCGTAACTTCACTTGTTTCCCAAGTAACCCCGTGCGCCTCGTTTCACCCCGAGTCGCACACGGAACCGAACTGAATGCACCGAACACTCCTCAAGTCCGAATCTGGAACCTTCTCGAACACGCCTCGAGCTCGTACCACAGTTTCCCCCGTCGATCTCATTCTCGATACTTCTCTACTCTTCTCCTCCATTTCTCTAGTATCTTCCCGATCTCTCTCCCGCTTCTCACGCCGTAGCTTCCAATATCCACCGTAGGCCGATTTCCACCGTTTCACGTAGAATCATCCACGTGCTTCCATTTCGCCGTCGTAGAAGCTTTCGCCGTAGGTTCCGTGGTTGGGCGAACCAACCCTAACAATCTCCCCTGTGGTTCGTCAACCACGAACACCACTCGCACTGCTTTCCTGCTCCTTGTAGCATTCACAGGGTCTAAGTCGGCTTCACGCTCCCCTGCAGCTCCTGCACCTTGAACCTCTCCTTACGTGTCTTGTAGTTGAGCGCCTTGACATCCAAACCTTGAAACATTTTCTTGAGCCTCTCGCTTCTCCTCGGCATCTCAACACTCAACACCTCTCGGGTCTCATACCCCTCAACGTGTTCCTCCTTTGTAAGCACTCGCCCCTTTGCAGTTGCATTCGCCTTTGATCCTTTCACCATGATGTCCCCTTTCACAGCGACTCCCACACACTTCGCATTTACTGCTTCATCTTCAACCACGATCGCTGCTGCAAAAGTGTTGACACCAACTCCATCTCCACCATTCACTGCTGCTGCCTCCATGGCGACTATCTCCTCTTTCAGCTTCACTGCTGCCTCCACACTCGCTGCCGTATCATCCGAGTCCTCACTCTCATCATCCTCAACCGATAACTCCTCGAATTCTCCCATCTCACCATACTCATGGTCCTCATAGATCTCATCCATATCATTCATCGCGACCAAGTTCATCTCATAGAACCCGTCACTGAAGTAGCCATCGGCATACTTCTCCCACTCAGGACCAAACACTGTAACCTCGCCTTTGTCAAAAAATATCTTGCACCCCAAGTCATCAAGCTGTGACTGACTCATCAAATTCACCTTCAAATCCTCAACCAAGAGCACATTCTCCAGTTTCACCTCTCCATACGGACTTTGCAGCACCACGTCACCCTCTCCTGTCACTGGTAACTTCCCACTGTTACCTTGCAGTATATAACGCTCACTCGACTCCCTCACGTTCTCCATCCAATCTGACCTGAATGTCATGTGACGCGTGCATCCGCTGTCCATGAACCATGCCGTCTTCTCACGTCCGTCCGTCTGACGAACATCCTTCGGTAAACGCACCACGTTCGCACGATGCGCTCCTCCCAAAATCACATCCTCCTTTTCGGCTTCCGCTACATTCGCCTTACCCGCCACAATCCTCTGCTGCGACGGACCCTTGTAGCTCCTGCTGTTCGGATTGGAGTAGCACTCTGCGGCACGATGCCCATAGCGCCCACAATAATCGCACTTGCCGCCAAAACCTCGTTTCTGTTGCCACTCTGCTCCCCCATTTTCTCCTTTCTCGTTCTCCACCGCTTTGCCCTTGTAGTTTCTGCTTCGCGGATTTTCGTAGCAGTTTATCGCCTTATGCCCCCTCTTTCCACACTGGTAGCACGCTCCAAACGCCTTCGTTGCATTCACCAAAGCCGGCCTCTCCTCGTCGAAATCCGTAGCTGCTGCTGCCGCTTTCTTTTTCCTCATCTCCTTCACCGTCTCAAGCGATTGCAGAATCTCCTGCAGCTTCGTCAAACTCTCCGGCGGTTGGTACGTAAACATACCGATGTCGGATTCCCACTCCTTAGGAAGGCCTTGGATGATATAGTCAATCATCTCGTGCTCCGTCTCCGCGGCTCCCATCACCCGCAAATCGTCGTTGTAGCTTTTCGCCCTGTTGATGTAGGTGATGATTTTCTCGCCTTTCTCCATGCTCAGCATCAGCAGTTGCTTCCTAATCGCCTTCTTGTTGACATCGTTCGTACCCATGTACGTGGACTCCAGGTACTCCCACGATTTCTGTGCAGAGTTCAGCTCCCCTTCAAACTGGTCCAAATCCACCGCGATTCCATCGGCAACTGAGTGACAAAGCTGAAAGAACGCTTGCTTACTTTGTTTTTTGAACGCCGCTATTTTCTCCTTCGTATCCGTCGTGGAAGGCGCAACTCCCTCCATCGTCTCCTCGTCGGGACGGTAGTACGGCAAGAGGTCAACCTCCTCTGCCCTCCGAATAAACTTCTTCCGCCACACGTTGTAGTTGCTTCCGTTGAAGCGCTGGGCTTCACTGAGCCCGATCGTCGGTTTCGCCACCAATCGGCACAAACGGGAAAACAAGAAATCGGCGGGCGAAACGGGACCGTTAACACAACGGTAACCTGACACTAGTACTTAAGAAAGTAGGCAAGCTTAGAGAGATGCTTGCGTGATTGTTTTCACACTTATGCTTACAATTCTCAACACATCCCATCGTGACTGAGCAAGAGAAACCAACCCGCGCAAGCATTGGAGAACACGTTCATGCACCTCCTCAGTCAGCTGAGCTAGGGTTTGAGCTACCGCTGTGACCGGTGGCCGGGGACTTTTCAACAATCACGCAAGAGTTACGGATGAACAGCAGAGATTTCTTACGGACTCGTCTGTGGCACGACGTTGGAGAGCTCAAGCCTATGACAAGGTGGCGAGCCGACGCTATTGCCGTGAAGGGACCTAAGGTGCCGGCATCCGCGGAACCAGATACACCTAAATATCGGACACCTCAACAACGAGCGCGCGCGGCGGGAGATAGCATGGACCGAGATCGGACCGCCGTCTCGGACCCAGGAGATACGCCGCGGGACTCGCGCTGTGCGGAAGGAGTAAGAGAGCGGTGGCGGAACCAGGAGGTATCGACCCCGCCGACTGGAATGCCCGGAATGACTACGAAGAAAGGAGAGCCAGACCTGTGCTGGACGCAGCACCATGGTCCAACGGCTGAACCGCGGCCAGTAGGAGCTATGGTGTCCAGCGGCGCCACGGAGATACCACGTGATCCGAAGGAAGCCTCCGACAGCCACGGAGGGCGATGGAAAGCGACGAACCTACCCAAGGTGGAGGTAGCGGAGCGATATACGGGTATTCCCGGTGTGGGGCCAAGTCTGAAAAACTACCTCATGCAGCTCGAGACGGTGCAGTACTGCTGGGAGCGCGATGGATATGACCCGGCGGAGTTTTTCCGTAAAATGGTGGGAACCTTGGCAGGCAAAGCAGAGACGTTCTATCGTATGACTCGGGACGAGGTCTTGGAAGAACTAGCGGAAGGGGAGATTTCTAACCCTACGGCCCGGTTCCTTCGGCTGCTAAGGAAAGAATTCGCCGGACAGACCAAGGCACGTGTAGAAGATTTCAGAGACTTCCGGCGGAAGAAAGAGGAGGCACTGCTGGCTTACTACTGCCGTCTCCGGGATCTAACCAAAGATCTGGAAAGCAAGGACGAGCGTTTGCTCGTGAGGAAGTTCGTGCGGGGGCTGGAGGACGAACTGCGGGTCTCCAAGACTCACACTGGAACCCGAACTCGCCTCGTCTCCCATAGCGTAGGCGTGAACGACTCCTCTTCTCCACTAATTTCACTTAGCGCACCAAGTGAATTCACCGCGATCGACGCGCCCGTTCGCCAAGCTCTTACACGCTCAGCCATGCTTCTCGGCGAGAGCTAACGAGGCGATCCGAGAGGAGAGAGTTTACGGGGAGATTGGAAATAGGAGAGGCGAAACGCGGCGATCCGCCGCCTTTCGGGACTCGTAACGGGAATCGAGACTCAAGATAAGATCCGCTCGGCACTCTCCAGTGATAGATTCTACGCGTCTAGGCTTGAGGAATACTGGTTCGGAAAGCCCTGCTGCTGGAATTCCATGCTTCTGGGTTGCCATGTTGCTGGGAGGCGCAGAGGCCATGGTGAAGCTCGCCAGGCCTCCGCAAAGTGCGGCAGGATGCTCGCGCGATGGGAGCCATGCGCGAGTGAACAATGGAGATGGGGAGGTAGGGAGGGACGGGGGTGAAGGATGGCAGGAAAAATGTCATCGAAGCCATGACACTGCGCAAAGCGCGACACGCAATGCCCGGGGCTTGCCGAAATGGTTTGTGGGACGGCGCCATGAATGCCACGTGGAGATGCCATGCTGCTTTGTTGGAAGAAAAATGGGTCGGGTAGGAGCTGGTAAGGGAAATATTCCGGTGCCGGGACTTGAACCCGGGTCTCTCGGGTGAGAGCCGAGTATCCTAACCGACTAGACTACAACGGATGAAATAAATGCTTATTCAAATAACTTCGTCTAGTTTTTTGCGGAGGTACTAACCAGGTGTGCCGACATTCAGAGTTGGATGTGTGGACACGTCATTCCACCGTGCCGTGTCAACCCGTCAATACCGACCGCGATAAAGCGTCACTCGTTTGTGGTCTTCCTTCCACCCCTCGAGTTCATACAGCTGCCGCCACGTGTACGACTGTCAATGGGCGGTTTGACCGAAACTTCCTCGTGGGGCTCAAGGTTTTGACCGAACCAAAGTTCTCCGAACCGAAGAAATTGAACAGATATGGGTACAGTATCTCGGCTGGAAATGTGATAGGGATTCTCCGCCCTTTGATTTGGCTGAAGCACAGCACAGCACAGCCTACAGAATCACAAACCAGAACAAGTGAGAAGCACACCTGTCTGAGGAACTGAGCTCTGATACAGTGCTACAGTGCAGAGCAAGCATTCACTCGCACTGGGGCAGAAGAAGGCTAGGATTTGACGCCCGGAGCAACGGGCGAACTTTGTTCCAGAAGCGCGTCGAAAATAGTATCGGGGGGGACAAAAACGGCTAAGGTTAGACGCTTAGACAGAATGCGACTTCCTTTGCCGCCGCCCTTTGCGGGCGATGCCGCTGACGGCAGGAAGCAAGGAGCGGCCGTAGCAGCCGGTCGTCGCGTAAACGCCGCCGGTTGTAGCGCAGCTCGTAAGCGTACCATCACGGCTTCTGACTCGCCCCATTCGCAGCATTCGCTACAGCCGCTACAGCTGCCGGCATGGCTACAGGACCTGCTGCAGCAGCAAGAGCGACTACTAGCGAGAATCCAGGGCGACCCGCTTGGTTCCTATTCCATGTCTGCCGCGCCGTCCTCTTCTCCTTCCCCTTCGTCTTCCTCCCCTTCAGACGCCGGTCCTCCCGCCACCACTGCGGGTTCCCTCGCCACCGCAACGCATCAGCACCTGCCATTTGCTAAAATGCTTCGACCGCCGCGCTTCTCCAATCCCTTCGCCGCTCTCCCTATCCCCGGAGGCTCGTCGTCCGCCGTCTCCGCTGCTTCCCCCGCCTCCGCTTCCGCCTCCCCCCCCTCTGCCTCTCAAGGGGAAGCCGCGCCGCCGTCCGCCGCAGCGCCAGAACCGGCGCCTTCCGCGGCGGGCTCCAAGGCGCTGATCCTGCTGCCGCGCCAACGCCTTCTCTTAGTTCCCGCCGCCGACTCGACCCCGGCTACTACCGCTGACGTCATCACTGTCGTCGAGGCAGGTTCGCTGAAGGACCCTAGAGTGGAGCCTATTCCAGGTCCGGACTCCGGCTCGGGTCCTTCCGCCGTGATTCCCGGCCCGAGCGTCGTAACCTGGTCGAAGCTCGCTGGGTGGCGAGTCGAGCTCCCGCCGAATCTACCGGACCTGACGAAGCTTCGTCCGGACATCGAGAAGCTTCGCCCGGCGCTGGAGGCGCGTGTGCAGCACACGCTGTCGCACGTGCCGTTTCGGGAGCTTCTGGAGGAGATCCAGCAATGGAGCAAGGCGCGCGGGGTGATCGGCGGGTGGGCGGAGGGGGGCGCGCGCGGATCGCGGCGGTACCCCAACAAGCAGAAGCTGTCGTCCGTGCAAGACTTTTTCCAATACGCGGAGGCGGAAGGTGAGTGCGTGGGTGGTTAACCCTAATATTGGTTGGCCAACAAGCAGAGGCTGTTGACTTTTATCCAACATGTGGAGCTAACTGAAGCCAAATGGCGGTTGTAGGCGAGGTAACCCTAATGTGAGAGTCTCAACAATGAGAAACTGTTGTTGCTGGTGTGTGCCCAACTCACAATCCAAACATTTCCTGCTTCTTCCTCCCCTTTCTTCCCCCTGCCGTCCACCGCCCTTCCCCCTCCCCTCTGGGTCCTCCATCCACCCCCCCTTGTCCCCCCCATCAGGCCATCGCCTGTTCACCGAGTTGGACAAGGATGGGGACGGCCAAGTGCGGTTGGAGGACCTGGAGAGGGCGCTCAAGCGCCGGCGCCTGCCAGCAGCGCACGCCCGCCCGCTGCTCCGACGCCTCAGGCGCCACTGGCTGGCTGCTGGCGCTGCTGCATCTCCTCCCCCTTAATGTCCTCCTTCTCAACCCCCCACCCCATCAGGCCAGCGACTCTTTTCCGAGTTGGACAAGGACGGGGACGGGCAAGTCAAATTGGAGGACCTGGAGAGGGCGTTGAAACGCCGGAGGCTGCCAGCGGCACACGCACGCCCGCTGCTCCGACGCCTCAGGCGCCACTGGCTGGCCTCGTCGTTCGGGTGGGAGGAGTTCCAGTCGTTCATGGAGGCCAAAGAACCCGCCATGCTGAGGGCGTTCACCTCTTTATGCGTGGGATCGTCTGGGACGCTTCAGAAGGGACAGGTGCGTGCAGTGAGAGAGAGGGGGTCCATGGCATGGTTACATGGTTACATGGTTGCAGGGTTACATGGTCACACGCCACTGGCTGGCCTCTTCCTTCGGTTGGGAGGAGTTCCAGTCGTTCATGGAGGCAAAAGAACCCGCCATGCTCAGATTGTTCACGCCCCTCTGTGTGGGGTCTTCCTTCCAGGACGCTGCAGAAAGGGCAGGTGCGTGGGCTGTGACTGGTCGGTCAGGTCAAGTGGGTCAAACCGGTCAAGCGAGTCAAACAAGGAGTTTCAGTCGTTCAAGGAAGCCAAGGAACCCGCGATGCTGAGGGCCTTCACTTCTCTCTGTGTGGGGTCGTCCGGGACGCTTCAAAAGGGGCAGGTGCGTGCAGCAAAGGAGTCTGCTGGTGTGCCACCGGCAGTGGCACTGGTACTCACACGCCTCCGGCGCCACTGCCAGGCCTCGTCGTTCGAGTGGGAGGAGTTCCAGTCGTTCATGGAGGCCAAGGAGCCCGCCATGCTGCAAGCATTCATTTTGCTGTGTGTTGGATCATCTGGGACACTGCAGAAGGGACAGGTGAGTCAAGAAGAGTCGTTCGCGTGAAAGGAGTTGGCGTGAAAGGAGTTGGCGTGAAAGGAGTTGGCGTGAAAGGAGTTGGCGTGAAAGGAGTTGGCGTGAAAGGAGTTCGCGGAGTCAAGAGTCACAGAGGCGAACGAACCCGCCATGCTGAGAGCGTTTACTTCTCTCTGCGTGCGGTCATCTGGGACGTTACAGAAAGGGCAGGTAAGCACTGAGCGGTCAAACGGTTCAAGCGAGTCACACAAGGAGTTCCAGTCGTTCATGGAATGGAGGTTAAGGAACCCTCTCCCTCACACACCTGTGGCCCCTCGCTGTTCACAGGTGTTCGCCTGATGCGGGCCACGATGCGAACCATGATGCGGTTTCTAGACGCGGACGAACCAGGCCTCGTGACTTCCCTTCCCTCTCTTCCCCCCACCGGACCCTCTCCTTCACCCCACCTCAACCTCTCCCAATCCAACCTCCTCCCCCCCCCCACTCTTCCCACCAGGTGCTCGCCTCACTGGAGAAGGCCGGTCTGCCGGCAACGGAGAGCAACGTGTGCGCCATGATGCGGTTTTTAGACGCGGACGAGTCGGGCCACGTGACCTTTGGGGACTTGCCTTACCCTCCCTCTCCCCACCCTCCCCTCCCACCACCAGGTGTTCGCTTCACTAGAAAAAGCCGGTCTGCCCGCAACAGAGAGCAACGTGCGGGCCATGATGCGGTTCCTAGATGCGGACGAGTCCGGCCACGTGACCTATGGGGACTTTCGGAACTTTCTGCTGCTGCTGCCGCCCGAACGGCTGCAGGGGAGCGACCCCAGGTGAGGGGATGATGGGGAACGAGGTTCATGGAGGGCAACGGCACCTGCTGCTGCTGCTGCTGCTGCTGCTGCTGCTGCTGCTGGTGTATTAGCCGCCCCTGCTGCCACGCCGCCGCTGTGATTGCTGCTGCTGCAGCTGCTCCGCCTGCTCGGCTGCGCTGCCATCCGAATGGCTGTAGAGCAGTGCAGTGTCGCTAGACTAAGAGAGGAAGGGTTGGTCGGAGGAAGGACTGGTGGGCAGAGGTGCAGTGAGGTGCAGTGAGGTGCAGTGAGGTGGCAAGAAGCGTACCTGCCCTCCTCTCCCTCACTTTCTCTGTGCATTTTAGCTTTGTGTTTGAGGTGTGTCAACTCCCCCCACAACCCCACCCACACACCCACACAACCCCCCACCCCCACCCCCACACACCTCCACACCTCCAACCCCACACACCCCCACACCCCATGGTGCACCGCACGTGATGGCTGCGCCTATTCTCCTCTCCCCCTTACCCTCCTCCCTCCCCCCCTCCCTCCTCCGCTCCTCTTTATCCCCTCCACAGCATGGTACGATGCGGCCACCATGGTCCTAATGGCGCACCGCGCACCCCCCACCTACCACCCGCACAGCATGGTGTGGTACAATACAAGGCGGCCACCATGGTCCCCATGGCTTACCATATAATGGGAATGGATGTTCTCTTCCTTCTCATTATCACTCCCCTTTCCCACCCCTCTCTCCCTCCCACCCCACCCCTCTCTCCCCCATCTCCCTCCCCCCACAGCATGGTGTGGTATGATGCTGCCACCATGGGCCCCACCCCAGGGTGCACCACACACCATGGCCGCTACGATTCTTTCCCAGTCCCCTTATCTCTTTCTCCCCTTTCTTCCCCCCTCCACACCCCCACACCCCGCCACCCCAACCCGCTCCCTGTCAATCGCACAGCATGGTGTGGTATGATGCTGCCACCATGGTCCCCACCCCAGGGCGCACCACACACCATGGGTAGCAGTACTCACCCCACTCCCTTTGTCTCTCCTTTCCACCCCCCCTCTTCCCCCACCCCCCCTCTTCCCCCTCCCCCCCTCTTCACCCACCCTTCTCCTCCTCCCCTCTCCCCCCCCACAGCATGGTGTGGTACGATGCGGCCACCATGGTTCCCATGGCGCCGCCCGCTGCCACGTCAGCGCCAGCTGGCAGCGTGATCAAATCTGCGCTAGCCGGCGGGCTTGCCTCGGGATTGTCGACCTGCCTCATGCACCCCTTGGATACTATCAAGGTGAGTGTTGTTAGAATATCTCTCCTCTTGTAACCTGCATATATGCTATAGGATAGGCTAGAGATAAGCACCCAAACTTAGTTTGGGTGTACAAACAGGGGTAACCCAGTTTGTAGGTTGGAACCCAACCTTGGTCCAATTATTGGACACCAAAAGGTTGGGTTGGGTAGAATTATTGGCTCCCTCCAATAATGTTGGCCAACCCCACCTTGGCCAACATTATTGGACCCCACCAATAATCACCCAACTCAACTTCTTGGTTGGGGTCCAATAATGCCAACCAAGGCTAGTATCCAACCTCCAACTATGTATACCCCCATCATTCTCAATCAAGATACAACTTCTATTCTAACTCTCATTTCCCACATGGTATAGAGCACACTATCTTAGGCCTACTATCGTTCCAAAGGCCCACCCGGCCACCGCAACCCCCGGCCTCCTCCCTTTCATTTTTTTTTTCCCCGGCTCCTCTGCCACCTTCCCCCTCCCCCCTTAGCGCTCCCCTTCTTTCGCAGCCTTGCTGCTGCCTTTGCGCCCGCCGTCGCCCGCGCCTTCCCCCCGCGACCTCGTCGTCGCCTCCGCGCCCGCGTCGCCCCGGCCTCGTCAGCCGCCGCCGCCCGCGCTGCTCCCCTCCGCGGCCTCGTCGCCGCCTCCGCGCCTGCGTCCGCCGCGGCCTCGCCAGCCGCCGCCACCCCGCTCCCCTCCGCGGCCTCGACGTCGCCTCCGCGCCCGCGACGCCGCGGCCTCGTCAGCCGCCGCCGCCCGCGCTGCTCCCCTCCGCGGCCTCGACACCGCCTCCGCGCCCGCGACGCCGCGGCCTCGCCAGCCGCCGCCGCCCGCGCAGCTCCCCTCCGCGGCCTCGACGCCGCCTTCGCGCCCGCGACGCCGCGGCCTCGCCAGCCGCCGCCGCCCGCGCAACTCCCCTCCGCGGCCTCGCCGCCGCCTCCACGCCCGCGACGCCGCGGCCGCGCCAGCCGCCGCCACTCGCGCCGCTACACGGCCTCGACGCCGCCTCCGCGCCCACATCACCGCGGCCTCGCCAGCCGCCGCCGCCCGCGCCGCTCCCCTCCGCGGCCTCGACACCGCCTCCGCGCCCACGACGTCGCGGCCTCGTCAGCCGCCGCCGCCCGCGCAGCTCCCCCTCGCGGCCTCGCCGCCGCCTCCGCGCCCGCGTCGCCGCGGCCTCGCCAACCGCCGCCGCCCGCGCTGCCCCCCTCCGCGGCCTCGTCGCCCCCGCGCCCGCGTCGCCGCGGCCTCACCAACCGCTGCCGCCTGCGCTGCTCCCCTTCACGGCCTCGACGCCGCCTCCGCAACCGCGTCGCCGCGGCCCCACCAGCCGCCGCCCGCGCAGCTCCCCTCCGCCGCCTCAGCACCACCTCTGCGCCTGCGTCCGCCACGGCCTCGCCAGCCGCCGCCACCTCCCGCCGCTTCGCAGCCTCGTAGCCACCTCCGCTGCCTGCGCCATTCCTCCACCTCCCCACCGCTTCCGCACCCGCGCCATAGCAGCCCCACCAGCTGCCGCCACCTGCGCGCTTTCGTGACCACTGCGGGTCCACCTGCAGTCGTCCCTCATGGCTAACCCCATGCCCTCCCCCTCCCCCCTCCCTCCTCCTATCGATACTTCCTCCATTGACAAATTACAGCTTGCAGCCGACAAATCTGCCATTAACTGGTACTCGTTCGTCGGCAGCATCCGACGAGTCCTCACCAATGCATGGATCCCCCCCTACCGCGTCCTTGACGTCGTCCTCCGCCGCCCCCATGCCCTCCCCCCCACCGAACCTGACCACCCCGGCAAGACCCCTCCTCTCCCTCCCCCTCCTGGCGACCCTCCCCTTGAGCCCGAGCTCCAGACCGCCGCCGACCAAGCCACCGCAGATGCAGACTTCATTATGCGTCGCCGTGCCTACCTCATCCGCAAAGCCGAGTACGATGCAGCAGCTGATGCCTACGCCCAGGCCGTTGCTGGCCGCAATGCTCACCTCGCCGTCGTCGCCAAATACAACGACGATATGACTACCTTCACTCCTAAGTTCATCGCTTGGTCAGCCGGTGACAACTGCGCATGCACTGTCATCCTCGGTGCTCTCCCCGACTCCCTCATGCGCCGCTTCCAGGCCCGGGAACTCCGTGCCTCAGTGATATGGGCAGAACTCCATGCTATGTTCGAACGCCGCGACATCAGCTCCGTGGGAATCCTCTTCCAGGAGTATTTTTCTATTACCCTCGCCACCTGTGACGGGGCAGTAGACTATGTCGGCCGCATGCGAGAGGTAGCTGATCGCCTCGAAGCCCGCCAAGCCGGTCTCTCCGAACCCCTCCAAATCCATCGCCTCCTCTTCAATCTCACCCCAGACTATGAATCCCGCCTTCACGCCTTTACCGAGGCCAATCCCATGGCCAATATCACTTCTGTTGAACAGTGGATCATTGATACCGAAGTCAAACTTCGCACCCCCATGGTCAACCTCGCCTCCTCCCACCCTCCCTCCTCCTCTCTCAACACTACCCAGCCCCGCAAGCAGGGCAAACGCAACGGCAAAGGGGGAAGTGGGGGCAAGGGAGGCAGCGGTCAAGGAACCAGCAGCGCCAGCAACCATGGTGCCTTTACTGGGGATGAGCACGGCACTGCGGTCAAACCAACCATCCCCCTACCACTTGCTTCAAGGCTCTCGATGATGCCTGGTATGTTAGAAGAGAGAGAATTGATACATTGAATAATGAGCCAAGAGGCTCTTTAGTACAAACAATGAGCAAGAGAGAGATTAGAGGGAAGCTTACCCTATTGGCCAATAAGTTGGCCAATGGGTGAGCTTGCTTGTGACCCAAGCAACCACAAATGTGTGTTGGTTGGGATTGGTTGAGCTAAGGACCAATCCCAACCAACCACAAAATGTGGTTGGAGGGTACACTAAGCAACCCCCCAATTTATAAATGTGCTACACTTCTAGCCTATGTATGTTGTATGAAATATGAAATTACAACACAACCCCCCAACATGCATAAGGCTAGAAGGCTAGAATCAAGAGGCGGGAGGCGACTTAGGAGGAGTGAGGCCAAGAAGACGAAGTAGGAAAGAGTGAGCGGCATGAGGAAGAGCTTTTGTGAAGATGTCGGCAAGGTTGGCCGCCGAGTCAACCTTGCCGAGGCGAAGGTGCCCCGCCTGAACAAGATCGCGAATGAAGAAATGACGGAGCTCAATGTGCTTGGAGCGCCCGTGAAACACAGCATCTTTGGTGAGGTGAATGGTACTAGCATTGTCACACCAAATTGTGGGACAGCGCTGGGGGGCACCAAGTTCCTCAAGAAAGAAGGTGAGCCAGCGAGCCTCTTGCGCAGCCATGGTGGCGGCATACAATTCCGCCTCGCAGGAGGAGAGGGCTGCAGCCGAGGAGCGGGTGGAGCGCCAGCTGATAAGGCCGCTGCCAAGAGAGAAGCCATAGCCCTGGGAGGAGCGACGATCTGGCCGGGAATCAGCCCAGGAGGAGTCACTGTAGCCACTGAGAAGAGGTGGGGAGGGGCCGCCAAGGGTAAGGACATAGTCCTTGGTGCCACGAAGGTACCGGAGGACACGCTTGGCGGCCTGCCAGTGCTCTTCCGTATGCTTGCCTGCGCCAACAAAACGAGCGAGGACGCTAATGGGGTAGGCAAGGTCAGGGCGAGTGGAGACCATGGCGTACATGAGGGAGCCGATGAGCTCGGGATAAGGATGGGAGGAGGCTGAGGGGGAGGTGGGTGGAGAGAGGTGGTGCCCGACAGAAAGAGGTGTATGTTGGGCGCCGCCGCGGGCCATGTCAAACCGCTCCAAGACCTGCTGCAAGTAATGACCCTGGGAGAGTGAGATGGTGCGGGCGGAGCCGTTGCTGCTGGTGCCGTTGCTGGTGCCGCTGCTGGTACTGTTGCTGGTGCTGCTGCTGGTGCCGCTGCTGGTCCCGCTGCTGCTGCGGCTGCTGGCGCTGCTGCTGCTGCCGCTGCTGGTCCCGCTGCTGGTGCCGCTGCTGGAGAGGAGGTGGCTGAGGGGGCTGCTGCATGAGGGGCTTGATGCAAGACAGCCTGGAAGAAGTGACGGAGGAGGGGGGAGAGAGGGGGGAGGGTAGAGGTAGAGAGGGTAACGGGAGGCGGTGCACCAAGGATACCGTCACGTGACCTGGTGTGGGGATACCGGGTGAGTATGGTGCGGGAAGGGGGAGGACGGGTTGGTGGCGAGGGAGAGGAAGGGGGGGGGGGGAGGGGTACTAGGAGAGGAGTGAGCGGGGGAGACAGGAGAAGACAGAGGTTCCGGGTCAAAGATGTCACCAGAAGAGGGAGGGGCACCATGGGACTGGGACGGCGGAGAAGGGGGGGGTGGGAGGATGGGGGGAGGAGGGAGTAGTGGGGGAGGGGTGGTGTCAGACCAGACAAGGGGACGGGTGAGAGGGGGGAGTGGGTCAGTAGATGTGGGAGAGGAGTAGTAGGGAGTGGACTCGTCAAAGACCACATCCCGGCTGCGGATTAGACGACCGGATGGTGGGTGGAGGAAAAGGTAGTCAGGGGAGGAGGGATTATGACCAAGGAAGATGCAGGGAAGGGTACGAGGGGCAAGCTTTCCCATGGAACGGGAGCGGTCAGAGGGGTGAATGAGGACATGTGCCTTAGAGCCCCAGACACGAAGTGATGAGGCATCAGGCTTGTCCTTCGTCCACAGCTCAGTGGGGGTGATGGAGGGGAGAAGGGGGTGAGGGTAAAGGTTAGTAAGGAGGGCGGCATGAAGGAGGGCGTAGCCCCAAAGAGAAGGGGGGCAGGAGGCGTGGACAAGCAGACACCGGGCTGTTTTGGTGATCTCTCGAACACGACTCTCAGCCACGCCGTTCTGCTGTGGGGAGTGAGGGAGGGTGTAAGTCTGAAGGATGCCACGAGACTGACAATAGGAGGAGACTTGGTTGTTAAGGAACTCACCACCTCCATCAGAGTGAAGGCGGCAAACAGGGCGCCCAAAATGGGTGTTTGCCCGCTCGAGCCAG